TCCCACTACCACTACGATCAAGACTTAATAAATCTGTGATACGTCCGGTGTTGTTATATGGTGCAGAAACATGGCCAATGACAGCCAAACTGGAACAACAACTTCAACGAACCGACATGAAAATGCTCCGATGGATGCAACGAATTAGTCTGAAGGACCACATCAAATCTACCGAAATCCTGCGTCGTGCTGGTTTAGATGATATAAAGGACGAATTCCGGCAACACCGTCTGCGGTTGTTTGGTCATGTCAAACGAAGTGGAAACAGTGCCATAACTTCTCTTGCAGATGTTGAAGTACCTGGCACACGTCCTAAAGGCCGTCCAAAGAAGTCCTGGTCGCAAATAATCGAGCAAGACATGAAAGCTCTAAATTTAAATGAAATGGATACAACTGATCATCTAATTTGGGGCAAGAAGTTGATGGCAAAGAAAACAACGTCCTACCTCGGGAAACCGGGTCTCTGGACGCAAAACGAAGATTGATTGATAGTGGCAGCGATGGTATTTCAAATTTTGTTTTGTAAAGAATAATTACTATTCTGATAAAACCCTTAAGATATTTAATTAACTTGTCTTTAAATTCTGACAAATTTCCTTCTAGTTACAAAGCCTGCAAATTAATTCCCCTATTTAAATCAAGATGTAGACATTCGGTTAACAACTACCGTCCAATAACATTAGCATCTCGTGTTTCCAAAATCATTGAAAAACTTGTTTATACCCGTTAAATTAAATTTTTGGAAAAACAACAACGCACTAATTGACTGTCAATATGGTCTTAAAAAAGATTCGTCCACTGATTTGGCTGTTTCAACATGTCTAGTTGTATTGCCAGGAATATGGAATCTAAAATTCATGCTGCCGGTGTATTTATTGATTTAAGAAAAGCGTCCGATAGTTTGAATCATAGTATTTTAATTCACAAATTATGCCATTATGGAATAAGAGGAATCCCTCTTGCCTGGTTTGAAAGTTATTTAATAGGTAGGTCCCAATATGCATCAATTGATGGTTCAGTTAACGTTCTCAAAAACTTTAATGACAGGCCTCAGACTATGGAACAAGCTTCCAAGTGATATCCAACGGTGTAATTGCTTTTCATTTTAAATCTTCTGTATTTAATTTAATTGTATCTAATACTATTTGATCTCTACAGTTTTGTGTATTTCTATTTTGTTATTCTAATGCTCTCTTTGTCTACAAACATACTTTTTAATTTTGTAACTTCATGGGATAAGCGAAATTTTTTATGTTTAGTTAATTGGTTGATTTACTCTTTTCTGAATATCTATAGATTAATCTTTTTTCTGTTAAATGTGAAAATTTTTTGAGTTTTATTTTACAAACTCATTTACTCAATAATATTATATTTACTTATTAAGTTATTTATTATTTCGATTATTTAGTATTTATATTTTTTTATGTTTGATGATTGCCATACGAGCCTTGCTGGTTTCTGTTTTTTTTTTCAATGAAATGAAAATAAAATGAAATGATAACAGAAGCTAACGCAGGTGTGATGAGATGATAAGAGAAAATAATGCAGACGTGACGTACCTGAGGACGCAACAAAGTTGTTGTACAAGTTGAATCTGTTGTGGTGGGGCGGGCCCTTCGTGGGACTCTGTTAGATACACGATCATCATGAATGTTTAACTTATTACGCATGCTTACTTATACTCACGTACATTTTAGCGTACATACAAGTACACACGCCTAGATAGACATACAAACAATCACATATATACACATAACATATCTACATAAACAGCAACACGGAAATGATGACATATGACGTTATATAAATATACGTACATGCACATATAGACAGACAGACATACACAAAGACAAATGCATATATATATATATATATATATATATATATATATATATATATATATATATATATATATATATATATGTTGGTAATAGACCATAATTTTTACAATATTCTATAAATTCTACCGAATGTTTGGCGTTAATATGTTGCTTAACCAACAAGGAAAACAAAGAAGTAATAAAAACTAGCATCGTAAATAGTGACAAAGAAGAATATGATGCTATCGATGAAGAAAAGGAGACCAAAGAAGATGACCAGCCAATTAAGAAACCTGACACCTAATTCGCATCAAAGTTCAATTTTACGACACCAAAGTTAATTTTTACAACGTCAAAGTTCATCTTGACAAAGTCAATATTTCCCTATATATACAGCAAGGAGCACTGATGATGATTCATTCAGAATCGAAATATGGCCTTATTTGCAGCATGAATTCGAAAAATAATTTTATTTTGAATTTTAATAAACTAAACGTTCACCAAAAAACTTTAGTGAGAAAAATCGAAAAAACGAACTACAAACATATTAACGCCAAACATTCGGTAGAATTTATAGAATATTGTAAATATATATATATATATATATATATATATATATATATATACAAACATTCACACATACATACATGCATGCATACATACATACAAATGGCAGGTCCGGCGACAGCAAAGAGCTATTTTTCGCCATGAATCATATATCTTGTTTGCTGCAAAGGTTTTTGCGCGTCTGTGTTACCGAAAATGTTCAATTAAACGCCGACGTGAGCGAATAACGAGATATCAATTGTTAACCGATTTTTTCAGATGGTTGACTGTTTAGTGTCACTCATCGCTGATTTGGTTTTAACATACATACAAACATACATAAATACATACATACATACATACATACATACATACATACATACATACATACATACATACATACATACATACATACATACATACATACATACATATCATGCATACATACATTGATTTTGGAAAAATGGCTACAGTTTTGGGTTTTAAAATAGATAAAAATCTATGTATGGGTGAACATTTAAAGGTTTTGGTAAAATCTTGTTCATTTCAATTGCGGCAATTGAATTGAATTAAAAAGAGTTAAAAAGAATTAAAAACAGATCAACCATAGTTACTCTGATTCATTCGTTCATGCATTCTAGATTGGACTATTGTAATAGTTTGTTTTATGGTGTTTCGAAACATGAAATTGCTAAAAAGCAGATGGTTCAGAATAGAGCTGCAAGAATTGTTGTTGGTGCTAGTCGTGTTGAACATATTAGCCCAATTCTGTCGGAATTGCATTGGTTGCCGGTCAACAAAAGAATTGTTTTTAAAGTCTGTGTTTTGGTTTATAGATGCTTAAACGGATTGGCTCCGCAATATCTGTCCGAAATGTTGATTGACAGATCATCGATTTCTTTAAAAACTTGCCTACGATCAGATCGGGGAAATTTGTTAGTGGTCCCGGTTACTAAATTAAAGATTGCATCACGTAGTTTTGCAGTTTATGGACCAAGGCATTGGAATGAACTTCCATATTTTTTGCGCCGGTCTGGTCTGACACTTCCCCAGTTCAAAAGACAATTGAAGACATATCTTTTTTCCTTGTAGAAAATTGCCATAGCTGTAAAGCGCCTATGAGAATGTTTTTAATAGGCGCTATATAAATGATCACATAGTAATTATAATAATAATAATACATACATACATACATACATACATACATACATACATACATACATACATACATACATACATACATACATACATACATACATACATACATACATACATACATACATACATACATACATACATACATACATACATACATACATACATACATACATACATACATACATACATACATACATACATACATACATACATACATACATACATACATACATACATACATACATACTTGCTAGATACCTAATTGTGAGAGACCAGGGACATAGATAAAAGTTGTACTCAGAAACGATTGCATGCCTAACCATGGCTTGTTCATCAAAACGAGTTCATACATAACATACATACATACATACACACACACATACATACATAAACACACACACACACGCGCGCGCGCGTAAACTTACACTATGATTATATACATTGGATTCATGTGCCTCAGGTTCCTGTGGTGAGAAAGGATGGAAAGCCACTGGCCTGTTGTCTGAATCCTGTTGGGTTGTTGTTATTACAATCATTATCACCATCAGCGTCATTGGTACTATTGCTGTTGTGTAATATTGATTATACAACAATGACGGTCGGTGTTTAAGATGTCAGTAATGACGTTTAGACGTTTATGAAGATGTTGTTGATGATGATATTGATGATGATGTTGTTGTTGATGATGATATTGTTGTTGATGATGATGGTATTGATGATGTTGTTGTTGTTGTTGATGATGTTGTTGTTGCCGATGATGATGATAATGATGATGATTGTTGTTGATCATCATGTTGTCGATGATGACGATAATGAAAATACTGTTGATGGTGATGTTGTTGCTGATGAAGATGACGGTGCTGATGATGATGGCGAAAACGGTGATGATGATGATGACGATGATGATGATGTACCTTCTTTCGTTTTGCTTTCTTGTACGTCTTCTCCTTGCTTGATAAAGCTTCCTTCTGTGCCTGTCAAACAATCATCACCATCATCGTCACCGCCACCATCATCATCATCGTCACCGCCACCATCATCATCACCATCATCGTCATCATCATCATCGCAACCGTCATCATCGTCTTACGCTCCATCTCTATCACCATGATTATCAACATCATCATTCTCTATCACTAAAGAGATATCATACTTTAGATTAG